TCAGCACATATTTCTGACCATTTTGGTGAAGGTTATCAACAAATTGCTTCATTTGTTCCAATGGAAAGTTGATGGGATCGAGAGTGAAATCCTTATGTGCATCCATGTAATCAATGTCTGTCCACATAACTTCAAGAGGGATCCCAGCTTTTGCATAGCCAGCAACCACACCCTCAACATCAGAAACATTCTTGTAGCCATATCGGCATTGATGAAATCCTTAAAAAAGAAAAAAAGAAAAAGGGAAAGCTCAGAGACATAGTCCACAGGATATAAAAAGGGAATCCAGCATATTGAGTAGAGATGATTCTGCACATAAATACTGATAGAAATTGAACTCCAGAAAGTCTCAAATTGAATGTTTCTTTGTCTGTAATTTCCTAATCTGTGGAACGTAATTTATTTATTTTTGGTCATGTTCTTCGTTACATCACAGCAATTTTTCAGAGCAAGAGAGATTACAACAATGAAAACAAAGGAGGAAAACAAGTACATCACAGCAAAAATGATGCTACTTACCAAATGACCAATATGGCATAGGGGCAGGCCGGCCAATAAGCTCTGTGTACTGCTCCATAACCAGATCCGGTGATGGTCCAGCAAAAATATACAGATCGATAACACCACCAATAACCTTATAAGTTATCCTATCACCTCCATAAACAATGTCCATGCCATTACTATTAAGCAGCAAGACACCATGAGTAGTCCCTGCTGATACTTTGCCATCATCAGACGGTGATCTGACATCAATATAGAAAGGGTGGGATCCATAAAGATTGACATCAAGATTAACACTCCCTATGTCTGCATTCCACAAAGTCAGTGTCTGGTTAGGTGTCAACTTGAAAGAGCTCTTGGTGTGCTCTCCAAGTCCATAAAGAGAAGACCTGTGTTCAGGAAGCGTGGAGGAGAGCTGGATATACTGGTCCTTGAAGACCAAGAAAGTGCCAGCATCGGATGCGTCTGGGGACGTGTTAAAAAGGATGTCCCCTGACGATTTGCGAGTGACCGAGAAGCTGAAAGGAGTGGTGTCATGGAGGGTGAAAAGGAGGTCAGAGTTATAGTGGGAGAGGAGCAGGTTTTCCAGTATGGCATGGTGTTGAAATTTGTTTTCTGGGGAGTTGTTTTGTCGAGGAATGATGTCTTGTGGAATCTCCCATCTTCGGTTTACAGAATCTGTTATTCGGATTCTTAAACTCTCCTCCGTTTCAAAGCTGCACAAAGGCAGAGAGCAGTCAGGAATTAGTTAAAGAAAACTACCATGCCTGCAATTCATGTATGCTTAGATCAGTATTGTTTAAATGCGATAGCCACATTTGTCAGATTCATAGCCTCATGATTAACACTGGACTGTTCCATCCACTGAATGGTCTAAATTACCGGAATCAACCATCCTCTCATTTTTTTTAGGCGATGAGTTAAGAAATTGGTCCCGACTAATTTAATCAATAAAGTTTAACATTGTTTCAAGCAACCTGGTAATCTGTCTAGAATCCAACAAATACATGAAGTAGAAGAGATTAGGGAATAGGCAAGAGCTAATCACTTCTGTCATAACCAAAGTACTTCATCCTCAAAAACAACATGTAAGATCATCCTCAATCATAAGTTTTTCAAGAAATCTAAGTAAACAATGGAAAGGCTAGCTTAATGTAACAAAAGTCCTCATAATGTGATAGATTAAGCCAATTACCTGGCAAAAAAGTTGAGGTGTGGAATATCGGCTCCATAAACAGTGGAATTCTTGATTAGGCTGAGATTAGCAGACAACCATTTGCCAGGTAGATTGACAGAGACAGATTCGATGGTGTAGCCATAGCCAACCACTTCTTCTCCACTTGATAGGGCGACCCAGCAAGAGGAAAATAAGATAATATATAAGAAAAGAAGTGAATGGTGAGAATGAGATATTGCCTTTGGCTCGTTATTCTTCCTGTATCTCTTCTCCTCCATTTTTGTGAGTGCACTGTCTCCTTAATGGTCTTTAAATATTCAAGAAAAAAAACTTTACACGATGGACTTTTCAGTCGTCATGGTCCCACAAAATGAAGTATGTGTATGGTATCTTGGTAATTTTCATGATTATAGTTAAAAAATCAAGTAAATAAATTTTTATTTATTATTTAAAAAAATATATATATGACTAAAACTATTAGGAGATAGATTTTTACGGAGTAGTCAGTTAATTTATTAATTCAAGTAATTTGTTCTGCTTTTTTTATCCAAGATAGCTAATAATTGATATCTAATATTGATTGGCTAAAATAATTGATAGTTGGTATCTAAAAAATATCATTTTTTGTAGATTTTAAGATTATATGATGCTTAAAAAATATATATATTTGAGATAAAAGATAATATGATATTTTAGAGAATAAATTTAAAAATAAATATGTAATTAATAATCGAGATTGCGAAGCTAAACTCTTTAAAGGATTCATAGTCTTTACGGCTCATAAATCTTGTTATTTTGTAAAGAAGAGGAGTTAAAATGCCATATTGTCCTAAAAGTATTAAAGATAAATAAATATTAATTATATTCATTATTGAAAGTTAAATATCCCTTAAATACAATTCTCAGGTTCATGACTAGCAACGCACACGTAATATCTCAAAATATTCTGCCTACACTAAGTCTCTAAACTTATATATTTGGTATCATAAAAATAAAAATAAAAAAATAGCACAGCATAAAGTAAAGTATCCAAAGTTGATTAATTCAAGAAATAAATTAACATTTGATTTTTTAATAAATAATCCTAAACAAATTCAAAACATAATTAAAATCATGATGTAGAGTATATATGAATAACAAGCAAAGAATAAACTCATGGTTGGAGGAACAAAAGAGGTATACCTAGTAATTTTGAGTAAATAGCAATGGTTGAATGTCGGGGATTGTTTCTATTAAATAAGAGTTGTTGTACAATCTATTTTGGTAAGAAAATATAAACAACTAATATATTAATTGTTAATATTCTAATATAGGTAAGAATATATATACAATTTAATGCACTAATTATGGTAAAATAAATTTCATAATTGTAGCCATAATTTCTATAATTTGGATCTATAATTTCTGCCATTGATAACACCAACTCAAAAAAGCAAGAAAAACACAACCAAAAGATCCTGCTACTAAAATTGAGCTAAAAACCTAAAAAATATGAATAGAAGGATGCATTCAAACATTCAATAAGAGATAATAACTATAATACATGTTAATATATATTTTTAGATTAGTGAATAGGTTTCATAAATCAAGTAAAGAACAAAACGAGTATATCTAAAGTATCATATCAATTGGTATGCAAAGTGAGTATGCTTATCAGAATTACATATCATATTATTGACATTTTATTCGTTAGCTAAGAAATACACGCGCACACACATATAACTCTGGGAGGTCAATTTGCATAGTACTAGCACCCTACTTGCCAACTAAAAAATAAAATATTATATACACATAGATTAATTATTTTTTATTAGCATGGAGTAGCTAACTACCCTATGTCAATCTGGAGTTTCCATTAGTGATCTAAATAGGGTAACAAGAATCATGAGATTAAGTAAATAAATAGCATGGATATAGGGTTCATGATTTATCATTAAGATTTATAATACAAGCATAGTCACATCATAACAAATATAAAGGATATATGAACTATGTTCAAATCAAACAAGCATATGATGAGTTTTTAAAAACAAAACAAAATAAAAATATCAATAATTAATCAGGCTTATATGATTAAAATGGTAATAATATTCATCATATATATATATAAGAAATTATCTCACTTATTCGAAAAATGAAGCAAAAAGATAACAAAATCGGATATTACTGAAACTAGTTAAGAGAACGTCAGTAGAACTTATAATGAATATGAAAAATACTCAAAAAATAACTCGAAGCAAAGTAACATAAAAAATTTAAAACTCTAAGCTTATAGACCAAATCACAATTATAAAATCAAACTAATTCACTTGATTGATTTCAAATAGAACTCAAACTGATCGAACCTAATAGACCCCGATTAATCGTTATTACAAGGTCAACCGGATTAACCAACCAGTCAACCATTACACAAACCAACCAGTTTAGACCAAACAGTCGGCCAGCTATAACAAGTAAACTGATCGATTGGTTAAGCCTAACCGAACAATTCTCTAATTGTAAACACTAAGGAGAGAGAGCACCTACCTGTTTTCTCCGCCTCTTCTTGAACCCAAAAACTTTAAGTTCAAAATTGAAATCCTTTCTTAACGAGGAGGTGAAAGTCACAGCAAGGAAAAAGCAAAGAAAAGAAAAGAAAGAAAAAAAATCAACATCTAGTTACCTATTTTTATATGTTGGAATTTTAGGTTGGATTGGGTTAAATCCAAAAATTTGGATCTTATAATTAATGAAGGGTAAATAGTATGATTTTTACATTTATATAGGCTTGGCAAAATATTAAACTCATAAATATTAGATCTGATAGTTTATTAAACTTATATTTACTTAGATTTAGTATATAGTTAAGATAAAAAAAAAATACTAGTCATCTTTTATCTTGGATCCTTTTTAAATATATATTTTAAATAAAAATAACATAAGTAAAACACACGCTAATCCACCATCTATCTTCCTCGTCGGGAGTTTCTGGAATGGCTTCTTGAAAAGAGTCATGAGAGAGCTTGTGACTGTTTGTCCTTTGTCCTCCTTTAAGTCATCCTCTTCCACTCTTCCTTGTAGAATACTCCAGTCAATGATAGGCATGTATGTCCAATTATTCTATCAGGCGTCTATATATTATAATTTGAAATCTTGATGATCTATTTCACACTTGTATATTCTAGATTTCTCACCAAATAATAGCTGATATATAATTTAGTGGATTGCCATTGAATTCACCATAATAATTAAAAACCAATACCATACTAAAACTGTTAAACACGACGGAGTTTCTAACAGCTTGCAGTCTACCTTAGATTACTGAAAAAATAAACTAATCTTGTTATCTGATAATCCAGGAATGGAGCGATAGGAATAGTTGAATTTTGATGGTGAGAATACGTACTGTTTTTCTGCTGCTTCTTTTCCCGAACATACAAGACCAAACAAAGGCCAAACAAAATTCCAGTGGACAACACGGTGCTTACTACGATCCTTTTCTTCACTTTGGATTTGGTATTAGCCTTCGGAGAGTCATCTTTATCTATAACATGATAGAGAAAAACTGGTGTTAAGAAGACGAAATGGCAGATATATGACTTCACTACACGTGCAATACAATCTCTATGTTGCTTAAGAGTCTTAATCAGGTTTCTTTTAGCCATATTTTAAGAGAAGGAAACTCTATTGCTGATGGCCTCGCAAGGAAAGGTTTAGATAATATGCTCACAGACTATATATAGCTTGGTTTTAAGATTTTTAAACTGTGCATCCTTTTTCCAATAGCATACTGGCTTTCTATCTAAATATATTTATGAAGGAAAATGGATTTGGGTCGTCGTCAATCCAATTTATATTAATATTATTTTTATTAACAAGATAATATAAGGGATTATATATCTTGATAATAACTATACTCTTCACCTTTATATATAAATATGTCTATTAACAGTAACAGATGACATAAGAAAAAAGAACAAAGAAAAATATAAAAAAGGAGAAAAGACAATAAGAAGAAAACTCTTTTTTAATTCAAGAAGAATTGTTTCCGCAAACAACGTACATCTAGGTAATAGTGAGTATCAAACATGATTCATCATCATTTGATATGTCTATGCTTAGACTAGTTATCCAAGTTTTCTCGGACATGTTTATATGTTTCTTCCCGTTGCTGGTTTTTACCCTAAAAGTTTGTCCTAAGTAAAAACCGACTTCTCTAGTGTGAGAAGAAACTCATACCTGTTTCTGATGCATCCATCCGTATAAAAATGTCTTGCTCATTTTGAAAGAAAGTTCTGATATCAATCAGATCATTGAACCAAAGCAAGTACCCACTTCCTCCATCCCTAATGTCCAAGTTTGCATACGCAGTACAGCTGCAGTTCTTCAAGCACGTGTTCTTGCACTCCTCCAGGTTCATACTCCTGTTAAACCATGAGTTTCTTGTCTCTGGCATCTTCACACCTGAGATTTTACGAAACTCATCTCTAAAACAATTTGGTGCAATCTTTCTAACGCAACCACTTGACCAATCTGTCTTGTCCCACTCACTTGGAACTTTTGGTACAAATCCTTTCAAACAACTACACACTGGAGAGTTGTTAATACTACAGATACCATTTGCACCACAGAGCGCATAACTTTCACAATTATCGGTATTTGCTGTTTCATAAAGAAACCAACTTCGAGTCTGTTCAATCCAGAGGAGGTGTAGGACATCACCATCCTGAGTTAAGACGATCCTCCAGTGCCTTGAGCTATTTTTAAGTTGTTCTCTGTAGAATATCTCCTTGTCATTAAAAACAAATTCAAATGTGTACACGGGATTTGGTTTTACTTGAGGCACGCCACTGAACTGCAGACCATTCCATGGCCCAGCTCGATGCTTTATTTTTGAATCTTCCAACTCTATTAACTCTGGATATCCATCAGGAACAAGGATGCCTGTAATATTACCTCTGGAAGGATCATCTGCTGACTTCCATGATGTCACGTACCATTCCATTCCAGTTATTCTATTCAGCCCTATCTTCATGCCCGGTATTAATGTATTACCTGGATGTTCAAAACTTTGCCACAAGGAATTTTCCAGGTTATCATCACCTTTCTCTTTCACAACAAGGTTTCCTGAATCCAAAAGTTGAACAACTGGATTCTTAGCAAGTGTTAATGTGTTGGAAGACCAAATGATGCTTCTACTACGATTGAGAAGGACAAGAAGTCCTTGGTTGGTAAGCCTTGCAACACTTGATGAATCGTTGAGTGGAGCTTCTCTGTTGGCAACCCAAACTGCTGTCAGATCAGATATTTTGCCATACCATACCCCCAAGTATCGATTTTTGGATTTGCCAGGGCTGAAAAATCCTAATTCATAGTTCCCACTAGCTGAAACGATTGTATCTCCATCTCTAATTGACTGAGTTGTATTCATGGTGTCAATAGGGGTGGTTACTCTTACAAACAGCAACAAAGAGAAGCAAAAACGAAGGAAGGAAATATAATCCATTAGCAATCTCATGATTTTTTAAAATAGCTCGCTTTGTTATGTTATGAAATGGTTGGCCTTCTAGATGTGCATATATTCGTCCTAAGAAATTACCTCTTTAAAACCACAATCTGTCCATTGCTACTGCTATGTTCCACTAATGAGGTAAACGATTTGACACCACGATCTGACATCAATATAGAATGGGTGGGATACATAAATATTGAGACCAAGATTAGCGCTGCCTATGTCAGCATTCCACAAAGTCAAAGTCTGAGTCTGGTTAGGTGTCAACTTGAAAGAGCTCTTGGTGTGCTCTCCAAATCCATAAAGAGAAAGAGAAGACCTGTGTTCAGGAAGCGTGGAGGAGAGCTGGATATACTGGTCCTTGAAGACTAAGAAAGTGCCAGCATCGGATGCGTCAGGGGACGTATTAAAAAAGATGTCCCCTGACGATTTGCAAGTGACTGAGAAGCTGAAAGTGTTAACATATATAATCTTTATAGCTAGAGTTCTAACATGTATTTATTCCTAAGATTATATATGGTAACATCCCCTCAAATTGATGTTAGTAAGTCAACTAGCATTAATTTACCAACAAAAAATCGGTGTCCCTGTCAAATCATTACTTTGATGAATATATTAGCTATTTGGAGATTAAAAGATATGTAAGAAAAAGATATCACTTGATTTTTCAAGATGTTGCGAATATAATGAAAATCAAGCTCAATATATTTGGGGCGTTTATAGGATTGGTGGCAGTCTAAATAGTACTAATATTATCAGAATAAAGTGGGGTAGAGGTGATTTGAGAAAACTCAAGCTCTTCAAAAAGACTGTGCAACCATACAATTTCAAAACAAGTAGCATACATGGCATGATACTCGACCTCAATAGAGGATTTAGAAACACGATTTTGTTTCTTACATTTCCAAGAAATTAAGGCATCACATAAAAACATACATCAACCCATAGTAGATCGATGTGTATCCAGACACCCAGCCAAATCAACATCCTTACAAGTAACAAGTTAAAGAGAGGAGTCGGTAGGGAAGCAAAACCTATAATTAGGTGAGCCTCGAAGATAGCGGATAGAGATGTCGAAAAGAAGACATAAATTGACTGACCTGATGAACAGCATGGGATATATCAAGTCAAGTAGTGATCAAGTAGATAAGACTTCCAACCAAGCTCTTATAGGGAGTAGGATCATCTAGCAAACCCCCTTCATCTTTTCTGTAATTGACATTTACTTTCATAGGAGTATTAACAGAAGAAATGTCCTCCAAACCAGCTAAGGTGATAAGATCTCGAATATACTTATATTGGTTCATTAAAATACCATTAAATCGATGATGAACTTCTAATCCTAAGAAGTATGTTAGCTGACCAAGATCTTTCATATGAAAGTTGCATGTAATTACTATTAACACTCAGTAATCAAACCACAATCAATGCCAGTAATGGTAATATCTATATAAACCAAGAGAAGGATTATACCTGATGCAAATATGTAGAAGAAGAGAGAAGGGTCATATTGACTTTGTGTAAAGCTAAAAGAAAGAATTGTACGACGAAACTTCCTAAATCGAGCCCAAGGGGCCCGTTTAAGCCTATACAAAGCACGTCTTAGCTTACAGACATTGTGAAGAGAAGAAGTAGTCATACCAGAAGGGAGCTTCATGTAAATCTCTTCCTGGAGATCACCAAGAAGAAAAGTGTTCTTCACATCCATTTGATATAATTGCCATAATTATGAAGCGGCAATAGCTAGGATTGTTCGAACCGTGGTTATTTTAGCGATAAGAGAAAATGTCTCCTCATAGTCAACCCCATATTCTTGCTTATTACCTAAAGCTATGAGGTGAGCTTTATATCATTCTAAAGACCCATTAGAACAAAGTTTTATAGAGAGAACTCATTTACTCCTATTAGGTTTGATTGTAGGAGGACAAGGAATATTATCCCTCATTTACTCCCAATAGGTTTGACTGTAGGAGGATAAGGAATAATATTCCAAGTATGATTCTCCTGAAGTACTTAAAGTTCTGCTTACATTGCATTTTGCCAACATGTATGTTCCATGGCTTGTTTGTAACAAGATGGAAGGCAAATAGTGGATAAAATAGTGATAAGAGAGACAAGAGAGAAAAATCCATACCAATTATAGGGTTGAGAAAAACGAGTAGAATGACAAAGAGTGGTAAAAATAGAAGCAGAATCAGGCACCAGGTCAAGATCGAAAAGGGTCACGGGGGAGTCAAACTAATGGCAACGATGTCTTTCATACAGAAAACCAGGTTTGAACCTTTTCCACTATTGTTGGCGAATCAGAAAAACTAGGTAAAGGAGGGAAAGATATAAATGGCAATTCAACATGAGATGGAAAGAAATATTGATTTTTAAAGAAAATCACATCCTAGAAACTCGTACACTACAAGCATAAAGATCATAACAAACATAAACTTTTTTAGGGATAGCATAACTAAGAAAAACACACTTAACAGATTGAGCAATAAGTTTATATCATTCATGAGTAGAGAGATGCACAAAACAAGTACAACTAAATGTACGATGATCAGAATATAAAGGAGAATGACCAAATAACTTTAAAAAATAGGAAACATTATTTCATGTAGGAGAAGGTAAGCAATTAATCAAATGAACTGAAATAGAAAGTGTTTCACACCAACAACAAGGAGGAACAAAAGATTCATGTAAAAAAGTTCTTACTACATCAAGAAGGTGACATTTTTTTCTCCCAGCTACACCATTTTATTGTGGTGTTGAAGGACAAGAACACTAAGAAATGATTCATTTGCTTTGAAAGAAGTCTTGAAACTCATTATACATGTATTCATCGCCAGAATCAAAGCATAAAACCTTGATGCTAGCAGAAAAATGAGTTTCATAAAGTGTAAAAAATCACTTAAAAACTGGAAAAAAAACTCTAGCCTTAGCTTGGAGGAAGTAAAGTCATGCAAAGCAACTAAAGTCATTAATGAAAGTAACCAAGCATTTGTAATGAGCATGAGAAACAACAGGTGCAATCCCCCAAACATCACTATGAATAATATCAAAACATTTAAAGGCACAAGATGGATGATGAGAAAAAGGTAAAACTTTACTTTTTCCAAGTTTACATGATATACAATCAAAAGAAAGATCAAGAGAAGAACATGTTTTATTTTCTAATAATCCAGAATTAATCAAAGTGCAAAGTACATCAGAGTTTGGATGGCCTGGATGTTTATGCCACCTTTTATTTTCAGAACTAATAAAATTACATGTAAAGGAAAACTAGAAATACTAGTGGAAGAAAAAACATGAAAAGGAAAAAGTCGTCCCACTTTAGGCTCTTTCATGGTCATCTTCCCTGATGTTTGATCCTGTACAATACAACCAAAATGGGAGAAATGGACATCACAATTATTATCAACCAATTGACCAATAGAAATAAGATTTGCGGAGAGGTTAGGAGACACAAAAATATCAGTTAATGAAGGAGAAAGATCACCAACAACACTGATAGGCAGAAAACTGTCATTACTAGTACTAATTTTCATATTTCCTTCATAATTTCTGACAATGAAAAGAGGAACAATAGTGTTGGTCATGTGGTTAGAGGCATCGGAGTCTAAATACCATGGCTTAAAAGGAAATTTATGATTACCTGAGAACCCAAAAGCAAAAAGAATAAAAATGATCATTTGTTGTGTCATTTCAGGAGTGAGTGTATTCAGGTTTGCTAAGCCTGTAGAAGTAGGAATAGAAACAACAGGTGAGATAGCAGACAATACAGCAGAACCAAAGGCGACAATGGAGGTATGATAAACAGTTCTTTGTTTCCTTTCAGGACAAATGAGACAAGCATATATGATGTGACCATGTTTCTTATAGTAATTGCAGAACTTCTTAGCACAATCCCGAGCAATATGACCAAAAGCTTTATAACTAAACCATTGGACAACAAGTATATCTCTACCCTTATTTCTTTCTTATGTTGTATAAGCCACAGAAATAAGTGTACTAATATTTACCCTATATTCCATAGCAGCCTAAGTTATGATACGCTGCTCCGCACAAAAAAATTCACTCAAACAGACGTCCAGAGATGGTAAGGATAACGATTCATCAAATTAGAGCATGCAGTTTCAAAATCAGAACAAAGCTTCATCAGGAATTAATCTCTCTTGCTTGTTTCATGCACTACTTCAACAGCAGAGAGAGCTACAACAAGAATATTAGCATAAACAATATATAAATAATTAGCCCAAAGATTTTGAAAACTAGAAAAGTATTCCTTAATAGAAAGACTTTCATGTGTGAAGTTAGTCATCTCATACTTTAATTAAAGTCATTGATTTGTGTTGTCCTAATTGTAAACCTTATTTAGATAATTCCATATAGTAGTAGCAGTTTTATAAAGCCTTAGATTGAGAACAAGATGAGGTTCTATTGAGCTAAAGATCCATGTCATAACCCAAGCATTTATGGTTTCCCATTTAGACAAAGCATAGAAAATGTAGGTGTGAGATTACTCCCATTAATATGCCCCCAAAGTTACTTCCCTTTGATGAATAATTAAAATTAAAACTCTCAAGCAGAATAATTTTTCCCATTAAGAGGGATATGGAACAAGTCTAGCTTATCAGAAAACATGGTAAAGCTGAAAAGAAATAGATTCTAAAATTAAAACTGACGAGGAAATAGTCTAATAAAAGAAGGATTACAGACTAGATTTTGAAACTAAGAACTGTCAAAAATAGTAGCATAGAAACTAATATGAAACTGCTGAGAATAGCAATAAAAAATAAAGATCTGAAACAACCAAGAATTTCATCAGAAACACAATATCTGAAATAGAGAAAAATGATTCTAAAACTATCGAGAACACCACCAAAAAATCAAGATTGAAAGCTGCCAAGAATAGCATCAAAAATGCATGATAGATTACTAATTAAGTAGTAAATCCAAACTAGAAATCAGATCTATTACGTATGAAATTAAAACCAAGAATAACTCAAAGTTGTTGCATGAAATAAGGATCCAATGATCCCTCTTTCTCTCTCACCTACACAATCTCTACCAGGAGTAATATGAAAAAGACAGGTCCAAGATGAGTAAGGCAACAACAGTAGAAGCCAAATGAAAAATCAAGATAAAGGCAAGCAAGGATTCAGAATAGGCTCTGATATCATGTTAATACATTTAACCAAAACTAGAATACTAAGAGAGTCTTTTAATACCCTAATTTTGCAACCTCTTTTTCTCTTTAATACACTCAGCAGATAAACCCTCATTGTCATACCCCTCAAAACCCCTTATACATCGAAGGTTTTGTTATACAAGGAGTCTCACTCATTCCCTAGAAATCAGCATTTATGTATGATAAGATAATCTTTATAGCTAATATTAAAAGTCCTAAATTATGTTACCATATACAATGAATATATATAATTTTATTTAAAAAATAAAAATTTTAAATAATATTATATTAGATTAACCCCCATCTCATATGACCCACATCACATAACCCAGTTGTCAGTCTAGGGAGGGATTCAAAGACTTTGACTTAAATGCAACAACCACATTTGTTAGATTCATAGCCTTATGATTAACACTAGACTATTCCATCCACTCAATGGTCTAAATTATCAGAAACAACCATCCTATCATTTTTTTAAGCGATGAGTTAAGAAATTGGTCCTGACTAATTCAATCAATAAAGTTTAACATTGTTTCAAGCAACCTGGTAATTTGTCTAGAATCCAATAAATACTTGGAATAGAAGAGATTAGGGAATAGGCAAAAGCTACTCACTTTTGCCATAACCAAAGTACTTCATCCTCAAAATAACATATAAGATGATCCTCAATCATAAGTTTGTCAAAAAATCTAAGTAAACAATGGAAAGGCTAGCTTAATGTAACAAAAGTCCTCATAATGTGATAAATTAAGCCAATTACCTAGCAAAAAGGTTGAGGTGTGGAATATCAGCTCCATAAACAGTGGAATTCTTGATAAGGCTGAGATTAGCAGACAACCATTTGCCAGGTAAATTGACAAAGATAGATTCAATGGTGTAGCCACAGCCAACCATTTCTTCTCCACTTATTACAGCAATGTTGAAATAATTTATGTATAAAGAATCAACTTCGGTTGATGAATAAAAAAAAACACAGAACATAGTTTTACAGTAGAAAGAACAAAAAGTCAAATTGACTTGATAAGTTGTTGTCATCCTTAGTCTTTTATTTATAAAAGGAAACAAACATTGTAATATTATATAAAATAAAAGAAACATACCAGTCATCATCTCTTTTATCTAAGGAGTTATATAACAAGCTAGTCTAATCATAGATAAACTTAAAACAAATTGAAAAACATATTGATCTAGATAATGCTCATAATGTTGTCATCAGTAAATGGACAGCAATGCAGTAGATCACTACTAAATAACCTTATTCCAACTTTGGTACCATAACTTCAACACTCTTTCCTGGTTCCTAAGCTACACATTCCAATCCTTCCCCTCGTATCCACTCTTTCTTGGTTCCTAAGCTACACATTCCAATCCTTCCCCTCGTATCTTCAAATCTATTTTTAGCTAAAGGCTTGGTGAATAAGTCTGTTGGTTGTTCTTCTAGGGTGCAGTAATATCGTTCTACTTCCCTTTTTTATTGAAATTGTCTGATAACATGGAATTTGATCTTCATATGCTTGGTCCTATCATGAAAAACAGAATTTTTTCAAGATGGCTATAGCTAATGTATTGTTATAGAACAATTCTGTGGGATTTTTTTAAATGCAGTCTGGCTCTCTTAGCATCTTTTTTTGCCATATTAGTTATTTTGTTGCCACATATCTAACTATATATTCAGCCTCTATTATGGAGTATGCCACCATTGATTATTTCTTTAAATTCCAGCAGAACACACTATCTCCAATAGCAAAATAATAACCTGAGGTGCACATCATTCCTTCATCACTTCCACCCCAGTCACTGTTAGAAAAACCAACAAGATTGACAAAGCTAGATTTCATAAAATGTATGTCAAATCCTACAGTCCCTTTCAGATATCTCAAAACTTTCTTGGCTGCTACAAAATGAATTCTACTTGGATATTGTATGAACCTGGAGAGGTATTTGATAGCAAATAAAATATCTAAACGTGTGGCTGTTAAATACAACAAACTCCCAACTAAACTCTTATAAGCTTTCCCATCAGTTTTCGATGCTTCATCCTTCTTCATTAGCTTTTGTCCCTGTATCATAGGTGTACTGCCCAATTTGTAATTAGCCATTGCAAAATTACCGATATCTTCAAAGAATAAAAAACTTGATAGAGAAAGTAACCTTGATTAGATTGAGTTACTTCTAAGCCTAAAAAATATAAGAACAAACCAAGTTCATTCATCTCAAACTTATCTTTTATATTGGTTTTAAACTCCTCTACAAGTTGTTTCTTGTCTCTTATAATTAGCAAATCATCTACATAGACTGGTATGAATAGTTTATGCCCATCAACATGCTTCATATATAAAGTTACCTTGTTCATATTTCTTTTAAATCCTAAGCTTAAGAGATAATTGTCAAATATGTTGTACCATGCTCTAGGAGCCTGTTTAAGTTCATATAATGCCTTCTTCAGTAAATACACTTTGTTTATTGAATTTTGTTTTTCAAACCCAGCAAGTTGTTTAACATAAATCTCCTTATTTAAAACACTATTCAAAAATGCAAACTTAACATCCAATTGAAAGATATACCAGTTATTTTATGCTGCTAGAATGAGCAGAAGCTTCTTTGTATCATGCCTAGAAACTGGATCAAATGTATTTATGAAGTCAAAGCCTACCTTCTGTTAATATCCTTTCACTACAAGTTTTGTTTTGTGCTTGTTAAACTTACCATTTGCATTCCGTTTTCTTTTAAAAATTTATTTCACTCCGATTACCTTTTTATGAGTTGTTCTGTCAACTAGCATCCATATTTGATTGGTTTCTATCATAGCAAGCTCCACCTTCATTGCTACTATCTAGACTTGGGAATTTATAGCCTATTTAAAACTTATTGGTTCTGCCTCAGCCACATTGTATCTGCTATAAATGTTAGTTAAAGACCTTATGCCCCTTACTAGTTGGTCATCAATATTTTTTGTAACATCCAACTCAACTTGTTGGTCATTAATATATTTTACAGCATCCAACTCAGTTTGTTGCATCTGTTTTGACCCTTTAATTGATGTATTTTTCTAATTCCATGTAACATTCTCTACAACTTGTACATCTTTAGCAATCACAACTTTGTTAAAATTTAGATCATAGATTTTATAAACCTTAGATGTTGTGCTATAGCGTATAAGAATTCTTATATCAGCCTTTTAATCAAGTTTTCTCCTTTTAACTTTAGGTTTCAGAACATAACAAAAACTACCAAACACTTTTAAATGATCAATGCTGGGTTTAAAACTGTACCAGATTTCATAAGGTAGGCTACCATCAGCTAATGTTTGATCCCTTTTTTTGCCAAGTATGCCTTAAATTGACAAGATGTATACTCACCTCAATTGTCAAATCTTAATATCTTCAGTTTGTTTCCTGTCTCTAGTTCAACTACCGCTTTAAATTTAACAAACTCGACAAACACATCAGATTTTGATTTTAGAAAGTAAACCCAGCATAACCTTCTATAATCAGCAACAAATAGAAGAAAGTATTTTGAATCATTTAAAGATTCATTATGCATTGGCCCACACATATCTGTGTATATCAGCTGGAGTTTTGACAATGCTCTGAATGCATTGTTAGGAAAAATAACTCTAGTTTGCTTTTCTAATTGACAGGCTTCACAAATACTCTTTTATTCATATATATCTAGTAAATCATAAGTCATCTGCAGGTCAGCTATTCTTTTTAAAGTTGTGTAATTGAAATGCCCTAACCGTTTATGCCAAAGATAGATTCATTGTCCTCATAAGTGTTAGTACTCAAGCATACTTCTCTCTAATCAACATTAAAACTTTTATTTATCATTTTAGCAAAGAGCGGTAACACTTTTTTTATCTTTAATGTCACGGACTTCATCATTAAAGAATATTGAGTAACCAGATTCAATTAATTTTCCCACACTAACTAGATTCTGATTGATCTTAGGTATATAAAAAATATTTTTTAGAGTTGTTGTACTTGACATTGTTTCTATTTCAATTGTTCATTTTCCTTCAACCTTCACATAGTCTCCATTCCCAATTCTGACTCTAGATAGATAGCTTTTATCCAAATCTTTGAATAAGCTCAAATTTATAGTCATATGATTAGTATAACCACTATCAATAAGCCATGATGATTTATTTGCCTTGGTTGTGTTACACATCTCTTGTATTGTAGCCATAAATAAAAGATCTTCCTTCACTTATGAACTCTCGACTATTTGAGCTTGTCTTACAGTTTCTGCTTTTTTGCAGAATTTTCTGGATGTGACCAAACTGCTTGCAATTTCAACATTATGCATTCTTGAGCCAACACCATGCTTCAAGATGATTTGTTTTCTTACATAATTTACAAGGAAAAAAATGTTCTCTCTTATCTTTCCCCTAGTGATGGTGTTATTGATATTTTATTGCTAGTTATTGGATTGCAGCCTTTCTTTTTTTCTCTTTTTCCTTTTTAATTATTTCTGTAAAAATCCTGACTCTTCTCTTTAAAAACTGCAACAAGAGCTCATTCACTTTTTCCTTCTTATCTATAAGCTTGTTTTTCTTCACAGCTTGTAATGCATTTACCAGTTCTTGAAGACTCATTTTTGAAAAAAAAAATTGAATCTTTTAAAAAACAAATTTTATGTTCAAATTTCTTTGGTAAACTTACCAGAACTTCCTCTACTATTCTTGAATATGAAAAACCTTCCTATAAAAGTCTCACTTGATTCATAAATTTTGAAATTTGAGAAGAGAAGTCTTTGATAGTATTAGTTTCTTTCATCTTCAATCCTTCAAGTTGCCTTCTTAAATTTAAAACTTGCATCTTTCTTAACTTCTCATCTCTATGAAATTATGCTTTTAGTTTATCCCACGTTTCTTTGGCTAATTTACAAGCCATAATTCTTGTGAAGATTTCTTCACTCACAGTATTATGAAGACAAGTAAGAGCTTCAATCGTTTTGCCTTTTCTTCATTGAAAAATTTCATCTATGCATTCATAAGATTGTTTCCTAGTGGAGTTGGTTGCTTATCACTCTCCACTATCTCCCACAAGTCAAAAGCTTTAAGATAAGTTTTTATTTTCATAACCCACACACCATAATTCTGTCTTGTGAACACTGGTGATTTTGTTGGAAAATTTTCAGAATCCGTTTTAAAGAAAAAACTCACTTAATCTCTCGTGTTTCACTCACAACCCTTCAAAGCAAAAAAACTTTAATTTAACCTTAATGATTTCTCGTGTTTTCACTCACAATCCTTTCAAAGTTTAAAGAGTGCTCTAATACCAATTGTTAAAATAACTGATCCACAAAGAACCGACTTTAGTTTATGAACAAAGAAAAGAACATAGAACAAAGTTTTGCGGTAGAAAGAACAAAAAGCAAAATTGACTTGATAGGTTACTGTTATCCCTAGTCTTTTATTTATAAAAGAAAACAAGCATTACAGAATTATGAAAAACAAAAAAAAATATACCAATCATAATTTTTTTATCTAAAAAGTTATATAACAAGCTAGTCTAATCCTAGATAAACTTAAAACAAATTAAGAAATATATTATTTAGATAACTCATAATGTTGTTATTAACAGATAGACAGCAGCAATACAATAGATCACTGCTAAATATTCTTGTTTCAGCTTTGATACTATAACTTCAACAGGCAACCCAGTAAAAAGGAAGTAAGATACTATATAAGAAAAGAAGTGAATTGTAAGAATGAGATATTGCCTTTGGCTCATTATTCTTTCTGTATTTCTCCTCCTTCATCATTTTAAAAATGAGTGCACCGACTTGTTAATATTCTTTAAATATTCAAGAAAATAAACTTTACATATAGACATTTGAGTCTTGTGACTATTAGTTCTCTTTGAATCTTGTTATTATTTTGTGAATAA